GGTCAGGGGTGAGGCGAATTCTTGGAAATCCGAGACAAAGGAACAAAGAAATCGGAAGGAAGGAAAGTTCTAGAGTTTAAATTAAACTAAAACTATACGGACTAATAATAATAATAATAATATTAATAAAAGAAAAACAGGCGTGTAGCCACATAGTTTATCATAAATTTAAAACAAATAAATTCTAAAGCTTTTTTCTACTTTGTGCATCTCAATCATTACATTTAGTTGTAAATGATGTTGTCATAGTAGCACTTAATTTTTTAACATTGTATATAAATTGTAAACGTTTTTTCGGCATCCGCTTATAGATGAAACATACTAAATAATAATATCAATAGTTTAACAATTGATTCTGATGAAACAGTGTTGTAGTTTAATTTGCTTTATACAGACACACTGCGGTGACTTTTTTCAACACACTTGGCAGATTATTCATCTCTTTATTCAGTTGGGACGCTATTTACAAGTCGCGTTTCGGGCATTAGCCCCTCTTCAGCCAACTAAACATTAAAATTAAACATGAGAAAATATACATATACATACGCGAATAAAACATCCCGTAGATATAACACATTTTAAAAGAATTTTAAAAACTTTAAAAAAAAAACATACTTTAAAAGTACATAATTCGAACGTACAGACGGCATACAGAATGGACTGTATCATATTCCATAGATCGAGTGAAGAGTGAACAGATTGACTACAGGACTTTCAAATTTGACGGTCTTTAAGTTTATACAAATAATGTTCAAATAAATAAATTGAAATTTTTAAACAATTTTTAACGGTATTTGTTTTACCTGTAATTTATATTTGAACATATTACTGAAATTCAAACATTAACTGTTGTAGCTTTTTTAAGACAAGTCTTGCGCACATTTATCCCAACGACACTATCTGGTCTGCTAATTTACATATATATCAATATAAAATGGGAATTAATCGAGAACCAACTCAAGAAAATAAATGTAGAACTTGAATTTACACAACTGTTAGAATTCACTTATAAGAGTAATTATTTTGAAATCGAAGGAAAATATTATACACAGGAGGATGGAATTAGTATGGGGTCAGTCATTGGACCGAAACTTGCAGAAATAATAATGATTGATATAAATGAAAGAATTAGAAATATACTAGGTATAAAATATTACAAAAGATATATTGATGATGTTTTAATTATATACAATGATGCAGAAGTTAAAATTAAAGAAATAAAAGAAATAATAAATAATATAGATTAAAAAATACAATTTACAATTGAAGAAGAAAATACCGCTGACAACAGTATCCCTTCCTAAAGCGCGTAACGTAGCGACCGCACTTTTATCACGGGGGCGTCTCACAGATTCCATTTTTTTTTCTAAAATTGTAAAATTATTGGCTTTGCTTCAAAAATTATAATTACATCTTTGTTTTCGCAATTTTCTCTACTTTCGAACAGTGTAAAATATTTTTATATTGGTACAAATTCGAAAGTTGTATTCGAATAGTTCTTGAGGATGGCCTATTGAAATTGGGCTGAAAACGTTTGAAATTAAAGTAATAATAAGCTCAGCAAGAGTTTGGTGTTTTGTTTATATTTGTAAAGATACGGCTGAGGAAGTGAGAATAGGTACAAATGCTTTATTTGCATCGAATTTAATGTAATTTGATACGAAAAACGCAAAAAATAAACATATCAAATTTCAATTCGCTGTAATTTATCTCCTGTTTCACTGATTGCTATCGGGTTTGTTTGTAAATGGGGAAGAAATATTACACTTTCAAGTGAAGTGAGTAGAATTTTCTCACTACTGCGAGAAAATTTGTCATCAGACCCCGCGTTACCCCCTACCGCGAAAGTCAATAAACGTTAATTGTTTTATGACTCTATTTTCAACACTTCTCTTCTGAGTTGTAAATCGACTAATTGACAAAGTTTTTACTTTATTTTACTCATAAAAATGTTTTTTTCAATATTAAACAGATAGTTTTCTTAGATCTTTACATATTAATTTTATTTTCAATTTTTAATGTGATATAGTCGTGTGTTAGGCTTAAATCGATCACCTAATATAAAAATGGACATCGCTCAAAATATTACAGAATCCATCAAAATTTCTTGCTGATAGTTTAGATATAAATGTTTTCTGTGCATGAAATGAAGCAACCAAAAAAATACAGGGTGGACCATCAAAAATTCGGCAATTTACGACATGATGTCGAAGGCGTAAATTTTTTTATTTATAACTAAAAATATTCTCGAAATTTAATCAAAAAATGCATTTGCATCAATACCTAAATGAAATAGTTATGCAAGAAACAAAAATTGTACAATTAGCGCAATTTGTTTTAGCGTAATTAATTTTGAAAAATTTTTGTCGCTGTTATTTATCGCGTGGACAAACGCGATTTCTCGCAGAGTATAAGACTTCGCTGAGTGTAATAATAAATTCTGATATCTCGCTTTAAAATCGGGCTAGAATCTCTTATTTTCATTATTTTTGCCGCAAATGTCTCACAATGTACGATTATTAAATGTAATAAAAATTTTAAATTTTTCAGGAAAAGAGTAAAAATTTAAAAATCTGTAAACGTTCTGTTTAATTTGAAACATTTGTTAGCTAGACACACCTGTTTTCTTTTAAACAAAACAAACTTCAGCTTTTTATCTTGAGGGGGGGAGAAGTTATTGCCATAATTCACACTACTTCTCAAATTACTTAGCAGGGAGAGGAGTCAATTGTCATTGTCAAGCAATGCCGCAAAGTTTATCAATATACTGTATATTTCTGCTTTAAATAGTAAATATTTGACACTTTTTATATATTTTTTCTACACTTTATGCAATAATACACTATAATAAGTTATCAGATAATTTTTTTTTGCGATTACCCAACATCCGGAAGTAATAAGTTTCCCGGTTAATTTTTTAGCTGGAAGCTTTTGTTAAAATATCTTCTTATCTAAGTAAAGTCAAATAACATGCAAACTAGAAAAATACGCTATAAAATATAGAATATAGCAATTTTTTAACGTTTGTTTACATTCTGACTTTGATCACGTGGATTGGTTCTTCGTGGGAAAATCCAGACCAGATGGCTCTGAAAACACTCTCATTCGTTGAAAGTTTATTCTGTCATAATATAAATTACCAATTAGAGCATAATAGGCATAGAAATAAAGATTTTGATGCCAATTAACAGCAAGAACATCTTCCATACACTTACTATAGGGAGGTGGAGTTTCCTGGGAATATTTATTGCTAGATAGTTTTAAAAACATATTTACATGCCTAAATATTGTCGAATTGCCTAATTTAATGTTAAAAACGTTAAATTAGTTGTTTAGAGCTAAAAAACGATTTAAAAAGCGAATTTATTGTGATTGTTTACATTTTACTTCGAAGGTTGGAGGTGGGACTTTTCGCGGCAATTTTTCCTTTCACAAGTCTGTGATTAGTTACAGTAATGTCAACAAAGACAGAAGATACCCAATAAAATTTTAGAAGGAGTTTTTCTTTGATTGTTTTTAGCCAACTGTGTACTTTACTGAAAGATTTACTGTAGATTAGTAGGGGAGTGTATTACCAAAATATTTATGGCCCAGGGGTGGTGACAATACACTTATTGGCTTAAAGAAAGTCAATCGACCTACAAAAGAGCGAATCGAAGCTGCGATCGCTGAAAAACTAGAATATAATACAGATGCGCACAATGGTCGCGATCAACAATAGAGATTCTCGCAATCGCGTTTTTCTGGGGAATTTTTTCCGCAGAAGGGTCGCAGGGCTTCTGTGAGACGCCGGCATTTTTTTTATATTTTTTTTCCCGAGAAAACTTGGCGCGCAATAAGAAAATTATTTATTACATTTTTTGCAGCTGAAAAAAATTGGAGAACTTGAATTTTTTGAAATTTTTTGAAAAATATCGAAAAAAATGCCGCTGAAAAAACTGACGCAGGGCGTCTGACAGACGTCCGGGGATTTTCGAAGGGGTATACGGTACCTAGATGTGGTAATCACAAGAAAAGAAAATAAGCTAGAATTTGAGCCTTTTAGGAAACCATGTTCGATTGAAACTACAATAAGATATGAATCTAATATACCTTTGTATATAAAAAAGAATGTTTTTTATATGGAGTATACAAAAATACAAAATAGAACTAGTAACGAAATTAAGAAAAATAAACATAAATATTGTAATTTAAAGAAAAATTTAATTTAAATAAATATCCAATCAGATTAATTAACAAATGGCAACAAATAATAGATAACGCTACCAAAACAAACAATGAAAAAACAAAAGTAAAATATACAGGTTTTCCATACATAAAAAATATGTACGAGCAAATAGATATAGAAATGAAGAAAAATAACATGAAACTCACTCCAAAATATGGTAATTTATTCTCCAGATTGAAAGCCAAACAAAGTATGAAAAAACAAAAAATAGATAAAGAAGAAACGAAAAATATTGTGTATAAAATACCGTGTACATTCAAAAACAACAGTTTTTATATAGGCAAGACGAAACGCAAACTAAAAATAAGAGTTAAAGAACACACGTCCGATTTGAAGTAGCACCGATTAAAATCAGTACTCCACGATCATTGTGTACTAAACGATTGTAACATAGATAAATCTAACATACAAATCTTACATAAAGAAAAGAAAAAATATAACAGAAAATTTAAAGAGAGTGTTGAGATTATTAAAAATAAAAATAACAATTGTATAAATAAAAACTTAAGCATCAAAATTAGTGAGAACTGGTTTAAAATATTATAATTGTAAGAGATTATTGGATATAATTATAGTGATAATCATTAAGGTTCAAAGTTTATGTATAAATAAATAATGATTGTAAAAATCCAGAAATATTATAAGCTAATATTAATATAATAATAATTTATGTTTGTACACAACTTTTTATTGAATACTGAAGTAGCTCCAAATCAGTTCACTGATATATATGTAAATTAGCAGACCAGATAGTGTCGTTGGGATAAATGTGCGCGAGACTTGTCTTAAAAAAGCTACAACAGTTAATGTGTAAATTCGGGTAATATGTCCGAATATAAATTACAGGTAAAATAAATACTGTTAAAAATTGTTTAAAAGTTTCAATTTATTTATTTGAACATTATTTGTATAAACTTAAAGACCGTCAAATTTGAAAGTCCTGTTGTCAAGCAGTAAAGTTCGAGACTTGTCAATCTGTTCACTCTTCACTCGATCTATGGAATATGATACAGTCCATTCTGTATGCCGTCTGTACGTTCTAATTATGTACTTTTAAGGTATGTTTTTTTTAAAGTTTTTAAAATTTTTTAAAATGTGTTATATCTACGGGATGTTTTATTCGCGTATGTATATGTATATTTTCTCATGTTTAATTTTAATGTTTAGTTGGCTGAAGAGGGGCTAATGCCCGAAACGCGACTTGTAAATAGCGTCCCAACTGAATAAAGAGATGAATAATCTGCCAAGTGTGTTGAAAAAAGTCACCATAGTGTGTCTGTATAAAGCAAAATAGTTTAACATTGAAATCTGTAAGTAATACAAGATAAAAAGCAGAATGAAACAAATATAAGTATAAAAAATATTTTAATAAATTTTTTTCATACTCCCGTTAACTATACAGAATAATCATAAAAACATACCAGTAAACTCCTGTCACTTGGGTTAAGTTATAAATTAACTAACGATTCACATAATAAAGCGAAAGCAACAAAATATCTAGCAGGCAAGCGGCTAACAGCAGTAAGTAAAATCATTAAAAATAATATGGCGTGTAACTTACACCTACAAAACAACGTAAAGTTGGTGCAACTCTGTAAAGCGTATGGGCAAACGCGTATAGTCAGATTGCTTTACACCATTCATATGTTTTCGCTGTAAAAGCTATCTCCTATTCAACAACACAGCGCTTCCATTCTGCCACTGATATTCGAATATACAAAAGCAATCTTAGTTTTTTTCAAATGCAGCATAAAAATTTGTAATAAAATACTGTATATAATGTGGTTATAATAAAATATTAAATAAATTAATTTTAAATACGTACTTCAAAATATCAAAGTAATCCACCTCTGTCCCGCCAACGAACATCAAAGCCGCGTCGGCTCTCCAAACGGTTGTTGACACTGTCTAAGGCCACCATACTCAACCTGCGGCCCGCGGGCCACATGCGGTCCTCTGACCTTTTGTGAGTGGCCCGGACGTGACCCGTAAATAATGCAGTCAAAATATGAATTTTGAATTTTTCGTGGCAAAAAATAGATTTGGTCACTCCGCCCACACGCTAAGTGCTTTTTGTCCATAGAAAGTTGTCGCCAGATCTTCGAGCATTGTNATACAAAAATACAAAATAGAACTAGTAACGAAATTAAGAAAAATAAACATAAATATTGTAATTTAAAGAAAAATTTAATTTAAATAAATATCCAATCAGATTAATTAACAAATGGCAACAAATAATAGATAACGCTACCAAAACAAACAATGAAAAAACAAAAGTAAAATATACAGGTTTTCCATACATAAAAAATATGTACGAGCAAATAGATATAGAAATGAAGAAAAATAACATGAAACTCACTCCAAAATATGGTAATTTATTCTCCAGATTGAAAGCCAAACAAAGTATGAAAAAACAAAAAATAGATAAAGAAGAAACGAAAAATATTGTGTATAAAATACCGTGTACATTCAAAAACAACAGTTTTTATATAGGCAAGACGAAACGCAAACTAAAAATAAGAGTTAAAGAACACACGTCCGATTTGAAGTAGCACCGATTAAAATCAGTACTCCACGATCATTGTGTACTAAACGATTGTAACATAGATAAATCTAACATACAAATCTTACATAAAGAAAAGAAAAAATATAACAGAAAATTTAAAGAGAGTGTTGAGATTATTAAAAATAAAAATAACAATTGTATAAATAAAAACTTAAGCATCAAAATTAGTGAGAACTGGTTTAAAATATTATAATTGTAAGAGATTATTGGATATAATTATAGTGATAATCATTAAGGTTCAAAGTTTATGTATAAATAAATAATGATTGTAAAAATCCAGAAATATTATAAGCTAATATTAATATAATAATAATTTATGTTTGTACACAACTTTTTATTGAATACTGAAGTAGCTCCAAATCAGTTCACTGATATATATGTAAATTAGCAGACCAGATAGTGTCGTTGGGATAAATGTGCGCGAGACTTGTCTTAAAAAAGCTACAACAGTTAATGTGTAAATTCGGGTAATATGTCCGAATATAAATTACAGGTAAAATAAATACTGTTAAAAATTGTTTAAAAGTTTCAATTTATTTATTTGAACATTATTTGTATAAACTTAAAGACCGTCAAATTTGAAAGTCCTGTTGTCAAGCAGTAAAGTTCGAGACTTGTCAATCTGTTCACTCTTCACTCGATCTATGGAATATGATACAGTCCATTCTGTATGCCGTCTGTACGTTCTAATTATGTACTTTTAAGGTATGTTTTTTTTAAAGTTTTTAAAATTTTTTAAAATGTGTTATATCTACGGGATGTTTTATTCGCGTATGTATATGTATATTTTCTCATGTTTAATTTTAATGTTTAGTTGGCTGAAGAGGGGCTAATGCCCGAAACGCGACTTGTAAATAGCGTCCCAACTGAATAAAGAGATGAATAATCTGCCAAGTGTGTTGAAAAAAGTCACCATAGTGTGTCTGTATAAAGCAAAATAGTTTAACATTGAAATCTGTAAGTAATACAAGATAAAAAGCAGAATGAAACAAATATAAGTATAAAAAATATTTTAATAAATTTTTTTCATACTCCCGTTAACTATACAGAATAATCATAAAAACATACCAGTAAACTCCTGTCACTTGGGTTAAGTTATAAATTAACTAACGATTCACATAATAAAGCGAAAGCAACAAAATATCTAGCAGGCAAGCGGCTAACAGCAGTAAGTAAAATCATTAAAAATAATATGGCGTGTAACTTACACCTACAAAACAACGTAAAGTTGGTGCAACTCTGTAAAGCGTATGGGCAAACGCGTATAGTCAGATTGCTTTACACCATTCATATGTTTTCGCTGTAAAAGCTATCTCCTATTCAACAACACAGCGCTTCCATTCTGCCACTGATATTCGAATATACAAAAGCAATCTTAGTTTTTTTCAAATGCAGCATAAAAATTTGTAATAAAATACTGTATATAATGTGGTTATAATAAAATATTAAATAAATTAATTTTAAATACGTACTTCAAAATATCAAAGTAATCCACCTCTGTCCCGCCAACGAACATCAAAGCCGCGTCGGCTCTCCAAACGGTTGTTGACACTGTCTAAGGCCACCATACTCAACCTGCGGCCCGCGGGCCACATGCGGTCCTCTGACCTTTTGTGAGTGGCCCGGACGTGACCCGTAAATAATGCAGTCAAAATATGAATTTTGAATTTTTCGTGGCAAAAAATAGATTTGGTCACTCCGCCCACACGCTAAGTGCTTTTTGTCCATAGAAAGTTGTCGCCAGATCTTCGAGTATTGTAAACATGTGGTGGCCATCGGGGCGATCCGCAAGGGATGGTAAAAGTAGAACTAAACTTAGTAATTTATTCAGACCCATAGCGCCTACACGCGATACCCGTTTCGTGTTGTTCCCGAATATTTTCGTGTTGACCTCATTTGTCGAACCCGAATATATTCATTTCTACATCGGAACGTTTTTGATACTAGATGTCGCTATGCGTCATAATTTTTATATTAAAACGAACTTTAGAAATAATTTTTTGTTTTTATGTTTATTAATATATCTATTTTGTTTGTGAAAAATAAAAAAGTAATTTCGGATGATAAAATAGTCACGATTATTAAAAAAAAAAAAAAAAAAAAAAAAAGTGTAACTGCTTCTTTTATTTAAAAATGTTTTGTTATTCATTTTGCTTTNGTGTGTGTACCGATGGCTGTCCTTCAATGACTGGATCTGAAAATGGATTTATTTCTCTACTGAAACAGAATTATGATTTGACAAATTTAATAACATTTCACTGCATCATTCATCAGGAAAACTTGGCTTCACGTATTGCTAATCCTAAAGTAGATACTGTGATGAAAACTGTCATAAATATAGTGAATTATATCCGAGCACGAGAACTGAACCACAGAAAATTTAAAAGTCTTTTAGAGGAAGTGGATAGTCAATACAATGATGTTCTTTTACATACCTCAGTACGTTGGCTTAGCAGGGGGAAAGTTCTGGAAAGGTTTTTTTCTTTGCGAAAAGAAATAATGCTGTTTTTACAGCAAAATAATAAAATATACAGTGAACTGCAAAATAATGAATGGTGGTGTATTGTAGCGTTTCTGTGCGACATTACAGAGAAGCTGAACAGTCTCAATACTGGTTTGCAGGGTAAAAATAAAATAATTTCACAGATGGCGAATAAAATATTTGCCTTCGAAGAAAAATTAAACATTTATTACCAAGAAATACAGAACAAAATACTGCGAAATTTTCCAACCATGACAAACGCTAAGCAGGACGGTATTAATATTTCTCCAGAAAACTATACAATTTTTTCAAATTATTTAACTGCGTTATCTGAGGAATTTAAACATAGATTTCATGATCTAAGGAAAATAAAAAATATCCTGTTGCTCATTGAAAATCCCTGGCACTTGGAACCGGCAATAATATCAGAATTGGCTGATATATTTGCATGTAATTACGCAGAGCTATTTGACGAATTTATTGAGATGAAGAACAATACACACCTGGAAGCTATTTTTAAAGAAAAAAGAGCGGAAAATAATTACGTTGACTTCTGGAAAGTAGTGCCCGAACAATATAAGACTGTAAAAAAATGTGCTCAAATTTTACTTACGTTGTTCGCATCAACGTATCTATGTGAAACGTCATATTCAAAAATGAAATATGCAAAGAACATATATAGAAACCGGCTTACTGATTCACACCTGGATGCCGTTTTACGAGTAGCATGCAGCAGTTACAAGCCTGATTTAAATGAAATTGTGAAAAAATGTTCGCAATATCAACAGTCACACTAAATTTCTAGGGTAAGTGAAAAATTATGTAAGTTTTTTATTATAATTGTTATGTTGCGGCCCGCGTGTAATAGCTATCATGTGTATGTGGTCCTAGAAAAAAAAAGGTTGAGTATGGTGGGTCTAAGGTGTATTGGTAAGGTGTCGCATCCGTGGGAACGCGCCTCTGTACCGGCAACGGGGGGGAGGCGCTTCAGTCGCCAAAGTGTTCGGATGTGTGTATACACGCTTCGTCTTTCAATCGGAACATCGGCGAAATTTTAACTCATGTTTTGGATAAATGTACAGCGTTGGATTTGTCTAAGCGTCAGCTATCGTTTGATATTAAATTTCTCCAGATCGGACTAATTGTTTTCAAGCTACGGGCTTCCGAAACTTAGAGTTTTACACCTCTGCTTCTAGGCTATTTTTACGGGTAAGTGGGATATTTATACATCACTCGATTCAGTTTTTAATTTTCTTTCTAACGCTGTTGTCGGATTTTCTTCCTGTTTCTTTGTGTTTAAGTTGGTACCGGTTTTCTGTTTACTGGTTAGGGCCTAATTGCGGGCCTGTCGCGTTTATCTCATGGTTGTACTTTCACAGGCGCTCTTACCTTTCTATAAACTCTCTACATTGTAAATTTCATTATTCTATCTTTTTCGTTTGTATAATATAAGCATTCTTCTTTTCGGTACAAATAAAGAAATTTTAGGTCTACGTTATCACGTGGTCGGTCTCTCCACGTGGCTGACCTTTCTCCCCTACCTGACCCTAATTCGGCAAATTTCTTCGCTGTTTTTCGGGTCTAGTCTGGACAGATCCTAGCGTTTATTCTTTATTATTTTATGTTATTTGTTACTTTTCGCTGGTGTTCTGGATAAGTAGTCTGCGGGCCGCTTTTCGGGCAGTGGTTTTCGGCCTCGTCAGTCCATCGCGACGTTTTTCTCAAGCGCCTCTTTGGCTTGTGGTCATTCTGTGGTTTTATCAATTGGTTGGTATCCGATTTGTTATTGTGGGCACTTTGCAATGGAGCCGTCTGAATCAATTCCGATTTTGGATCTGCCTGTTACTTCATTCGAGGCTGACTGCCCTTTTGAGAACACTATCCTCAGAGAGGCAGGCCTGCACTTGAGAAGAATTATGGACCTCATTCCTGTGAAGTGCATAAATGGCCCAAATTTAGTGGATAAAAATCATCGAAGCAAAAACATAGAGACCTGTCTATGTAACATATAACAGATTGATCGAATGTTTACACACAAAAGTTTTTTGATTTTTTCAAATCTTGAATTTTATAAATTTTTGTTA